CCTAGGGTGACAACGCTCACTCAATGCTGCTCCTAAGATACAGTACAGTGTCACCATAGGACAGGAAGTTAAGACAACAGAACACATCCCCTCATCTTTATATCATAAGGGAAGGAGTTCCGTGGTACATAGCAAGAACCAAAACTATTACTAACTGATAACAGTAAGCAGAAGGGAAGAGCACAGGAAGTTATTAACTTACTTTAGATTTCTGGTAGGATCAAGATATAATTTTTAATATATTGAATATATTATTTTCAAAAAAACCGACGTAATATTTTATTCAACAGACCAAAAAGGATCACTTTACAGAAATGAATGGTTTCGGTTTACGTATAAAGGGTAATTTGGGGAAAAAAAGAAAAATTGTTAACCCTTGCCGTGGGCCAGCACAGCAAGGGTTAAAAGGAGAACTATGAGGTGAGTGATTTCCACTCATCCTCATAGTTGGAGCCGACCTGTGACAAAGAAGCTGTCGCAGGTCGGCTCTATCGATCGATCCCCTTCCCCTCTCCGATCCTCCACCGCTGAGTGGTTGAGCAACGAACAGGGAGGGGGCAGGCACAGCTGACTCTACCTCTAGATAGGCAGAACCAGCTGTCACTCATGCAACTGGGTGGATCTCGACAGTAATGTCGGGATCTGTCCTGGCTGCGGCGCTCACAGTATATCGCAAGCAATAGCCTGCGATATACTGAGTTTTGGGTCACGGGAGGAGGCTAGTATATGTCCTCCCGTGACCCTGAAGAGAACTATGGGGAAAAAGACTTACCCCATAGTTCTCTTTTAACTGCTTGTTTTTGCCTAGGGCCAAAAAAAAAAGTTATATTCTTTCGAACCTCTGAGCCCCCAGCCTGTCACTTCCCCAGCTAAAGCAATGGTATGTCCATCAGCGTCCTCACATCCTATACACTGTGTATAGAACGTGATGACTCGGGGACATTAGACCACTGCAGTGGAGGGGGACCGATCTAAAAGGTGCCCATACACCTTACAATTATCTGCAGATTTTCTGTGGTCAGATGGAAAAGCTGCAACAGATTGGCCCAGGTGGAGATTACTCCATCCACACAGTGTAACGTAGATGGAGGAAAAAGGCCTGGTTCACCCCTGGGTGTTTTTGCAGCGCGTTCCTACGCTCTGTAAAACGCTCAACATGTGAAAACCAATGTATGCCTATGGCCATGGTTCCCACCTGGGCGTTTTACAGCGCGCTGGAATGCGCTGCAAAACGCCCTAAGGCCCAAAGAAGTACAGGAGCTTCTTTGGGGCATATTTGCTGCGTGTATCCATTAGGTTACAGCTGGATAGCCCTCGGAAACGTATTCGGTACGCCAGCCTTAGTGCAGGAGCGTACGGATCAGGTCAGCACAGAAAACGGACGTCATGTGAACAGGCCCTAAGTGTATGGCCAGCTTAAGAGCCAGCTGGCTCAGAACATCAGGTGGGAACAACATTTAATTTGACCCTAGGCAAAAACGAGCAGTTAACCCTTGCAGTGCGGGGGTAGCCAAGCTGCAAAAGTTAGAAGAAAAAAAACACGAAATACCTGGAGTTCTTTCTTAAAAGCTTCAAAAATGAAATTGTTTATAATAATAAAAAAAAAACCTGCAGAAAAGCAGTACGCTGCCTACTCTGGCCTTCATGCCTCAAAGTGTCCTGTAACAGTTGTGCTCCAAGGAGCTCTTTGCAATGCTTATGATTCAAATTATCCCATAGTACGGGATTCAGAATGTTGGCCTGCACTTCAAAATAGAAAAAAAAAAGATACATTTTAAAATTGGTTGTGAAAAATATTAAAGAAAAACAAATTTGATTTAAAAAATAAATAAAGTGACTGAATAGGCCACAAAATAGAAGCGTTCTGGCTCAGATCACCATTTTGAGAAGAGGTTTAATAAATGGAATGCAGCAAGCTTCATCCCCCAAATTCCTAAACAAATGTGGTGGACGGAAGAATGGCAATGAAGCAGATATTTGCAAGACTCCAAATTGCTGCATATTTATTAGCTGATAAGTGAATACAGAAAGGACGGCTGAAACTGCTCATGGAAACCAAGCTCAGGCACGCTGCTTCAAATTCACAGAAACAAAGGGCTTCTTCCCACCAAACGCAGTCCAGATCCGCATGAGTTTCTGCACACGCAGTGCAGTGTGTTTTTGACACGTTTTTTTGCCGCGGTCCGGTCCGTTTTTGTAAAAAAAAAAATCCTTCTGTAACTGCTCTGCTCCTGGAACGCGCTTGGTGTCACCCCACCAAGCATAAAAGCTGTTTAACTAGAGTCACTGAGGGGAATTCATCAAGCTGGAGCAGACAAAATCTGGAGCAGCTGTGCATAGCAACCAATCAGCTTCTCTCTTTTATTTTCAAACATTAACTGAACAAACTGAAGAGAAGCTGATTGGTTACCCTGGGAAACTGCTCCAGATTCTGTCTGCTCCAGTTTTGATAAATAACACCCCACCCACCCCACTGTATGACTTTGAAGAACTCCAGGCAATCGGAAAATGAACCCTTGCAGTGAGGCAACCCCCACACTGCAATTGTTACCTACTCGTTTTGGTCTAGGGCAGTGGTTCTCAACCTGTGGGTCGCTGTGCAAGGTGAGAGTCCTCCTCAGCTCTCTCCTAGCGCAGCAGTGTCAGTTCTCCCGCCACGCCTCCAGTTGTCGCTGCAGCAGCCGCGTCATCCCTAAATTTTACCTTTGGGGGTCACCACAACTTGGGCAAATGTTACCAAGGGGTCCCGGCCTTAGAAAGGTTGAGAACCACTGGTCTAGGGGCTTAACCCCTTCATGAATGAGGCCTTTTTTTTTTCATTTTAGGCCTGAAAATTACTTAAAACCCCCCAACATTATATATTTTCTGAATGTCAAGACACTATAGAAAAAAAAAGGTGGTAGTTGCAAATTTTTATGTTGCGCAATATTAGCGCAACTCCTTATTAAACCCCCAAAATTTAGTGACAAATTTAGTTAAATGCCCCAAAACACAACACACTACCCATTGTTATAATGAAATATAAAAGATGAGGTTACAGCGAGTAAAACGATACCCAACATGCCCAGTTAACAAATTGTGTGCGTCCGTGAAACGGCGAAAAACTGCCGTACCCCAAAAATCCATAGAAGACACTTTAAAAGCCCCCACAGGTCATCAATTTAGAGATACCCCAAAATACTGGCCCTAGAATTATTGCTCTCACTCCGGCGTGCGCGGCGATACCCAACATGTGTAGCACGTTCGTCGTAGCACGTATTTACGTGGGGGCGGGGGACTTTAAAAACATTTTATTTTAAAAACTGTTTTTTTTTTTACTTTACTTTGACTGCTACGGAATCGATGAACGAAGGTGTCTTCGGGACACAGAAGCGATCTGGCGACAGGTAACAGAAGAATCGCTTCTGCTGTAAAGCCGAGAGTCTGCTTTACAAGTTTAAACAGAGTCCCGATGCTGGCGACGTCAGTCATGAAGGGGTTAGATATAAAGATACACTCGCCTGACTTTTGTCTCTCACAATCCCCACACGCACTCTGGCAGTGGAATGTCCCTCAGATTTCTCACACCTAATGCAGTTGCATTAGACGTTCACAGATCCTTAAGACCACTGGAGAAGAGGTTTCGGGGGGCTGTTCTAGCAGCCAGGCAGGGTTGAGGATCAGGTCAGTATATTTTCCTTATTTTAGCATTACGGGCAGTCCCCGAATTACATACATCCGACTCGTACTTACAAACGGAGGCTATTACTGTACAGCAGGGGTAGTTGTAATGCTATCGCGCTCGTGGCAACAAGGAGTGCCCGCCTGTTTGGGTCTGGATCGTAGTACTGTACATACATTACAGGAAGTTGGCTCTTATTAGCTGTGCAGACGGAAGGTGCCCTCCTCTTCTTCCGGGTCACTGAGCTTTTTTACTGCTGTCTGTAGCCTTATTAGAAAGATTTAGTCTCACTTCCTGTCCTTGAGACAACAGGAAGTGAGAGGAAAACCTACCCCTAGGAAGGGAAATTCACTCCTGTAAGGGTTGTCATGGGAAAAAGGAGTCTCCACTGAAGCTTCATCACCAATCCTTGTTTCCAATTTTCAAAATCCAATTGTCACAGGGACAGAAAGTGAGGTGAAATCTTCTGAACAGGAGCACACACAGCAAAACAAATGTTAAGGGCCTGTTCACATGATATCAGGTCCTGATCAGGTGCTGATCTGCAGACTGATGCAGTGCGTTTTTGCCACGTTTTTTAAGCGTTCCAGAAGAAAAAAAACATTTTTGCTGAAGTGGGGCTGTTAGTATGTTAGCTGCAGTGCAGTGCGTTTTTGATGCGTTTTGGACGCATTTGCGTTTCCTGACCGTTTCCGGACCTGACAAAATGTGACATGCAGTAATTTTTCTGTCGTAAGCTGAACGAACTGCGCACGTGAGAACTGGAGCCCATAAAACACATAGGGATACATTGGGGTGCATTTTGAGTGCAGCAGCGTACGGAGCCGGTCAGCACACAAAACGGACGTCGTGTCAACAGGCCCTAAAGGCGGTTAACCCTTCCCTATGCTATCCAAAACTAAAAAAAAATGTTTTTTGGGGCTGGAGTTACACTTAAAAAAAAAAAAAATGCACCTGTTTCAACTTACATACACATTCAACTCAAGAACAAAGCTACAGTCCTTATCTTGTTCGTAACCTGGGGACTGCCTGTACTGTGCTGGGGTTGCCCCACTGCAAGGGATAATCTTTTGCTTGCCTAACATTTTAATTTAAGGATACTGCAACTCGGATTTCTTCAGTGCAATGCAGTCTTGCCACAGCAATCCTCCATGTGCAGAATGGTCTCAAACACCCAGAAAATGTGTTGATTTCAAAAGCCAGATTGCATTAGAAAGAGGAAGAGTGCACAATGCAGGGTCACGTCAGAACCTTTCACCAGGTTTGTCTAGAAGTAGAATCCTTTCCAATGAATATAGAACAATATTTCGCATGAGGAACGAGAGAATTCAGTACTTACCAGAAGCTGTGTCCACACTTCGTCATGTAGGCTTCCTCGATCATATCGAAACAAATCGGACTGGAAGACAAAACAGATGTTAAGATTTTACTTTTCCAGAACAATTTAATGACAAATGGAAGAAAAATATTTCAGCCCCGTTATTAATAAAAAGATTTAGCCCTCACACACCTAAGCGACATCAAATAGGCATGTTTTTTTAAGCACCTTTTTGCATTTTTTTTAAAATGCGCTTTTAAAATCACCCGAACTTTCACATTGATGTGAATGGGCAAACGAGCTGAAAAGGCGCATAAAAATAAGCAAAAATACAGTAAACGCATGTTTTTGAGTGTTTCCTTTGAGGTCTATGATATTGCTGCAACTAATGATTATTTTCATAATCGATCATTTGGGCGATTATTTTTTTTTAAAATAAGACAAAAAATATATATCTATATATACACACCATTCTTAACAGGAGAACTAAGGGGTCAGGGCTTTTCCCCATAGTTCTCCGAAGGGCAACGGGAGGACACAAACTAGCGTCCTCCCGTTACCCAAAGCTCAGTATACCGCAAGCTGCAGCTCGCGGTATACTGAGACGCCGCAGCCGAAACGGATCCCGACAATTATGTCTGGATCCGCCCAGCTGCGTGAGTGACAGCTGGCTCTGCCTATCTAGAGGCAGAGCCAGCTGTACCCGCCCCCTCCCCCGTTCGTTCCGCCAGTCAGCGCTGGAGGATCAGAGCGGGGAGGGGGGAATCCAGTCCCTCACGGTTCTCTGCCGTAACGGGATCGAGAAGTGAGCGAGCGACGGTATGTGTTCCCTCACTTCCCGATCTACTGAGCCGACCTGTGACAGTCTCATTGTCACACGTCGGCCAGAACTATGAGGTGAGTGAAAAGCACTCACCTCATAGTTCTCCTTTAAGTTACAATAAAAACAAAACAAATGCCATGTTACAAGGTTTATTTCAGAATAAAACTGCATGCACATTTTTGTTTTTGCAATCAAGCTGCACTGGAATGCACAACATTGCGGTACCATGCATTCCAGTGCAGGCCATTTGGGGCGCGTTTGGGGTGCCATTGAAACGAATGACACTGCAACGCACCTCCTGCAGCAGAATTTGGCTGGCTAAGACCAAAAATTACTTTTCCCACCTTTTATAAAAAAATATACATATTTTTAAACAATTGTATTGTTAGCACACGATGGCACTTGAACAGCTTCAGCCAGGAATGAGAGCCGTAAGTGGCAAGACTCTGCAGATGGGAGCTGAATGTAAATACAGCAGGTAGTGGGCTGGTTCAATACCCAGCCTGCTATTGGCCATTTCAAATTGCCAATAACAGGCTGGCTATTGCACCCGCCCACTGCTTGCTGTGCCCTCCTCTCAATATAGAGGAGAGAGCTAGGGGATGCAACCAAATAATTAATGAAAATAGTTGACAACTATTCTCAGTCAATTAGTTGGCCGAGGCCCTACTCTATGGCGCCAAGAATTGCAGAATCTGCCAAAAAGACGCTTGTGTACTTTTTCCAGGGACAGGCATTTTGCTACAAGTGACATAACGCTTAGATTTGAACATGGCCATAGTTTTATTAGCTTTTTTGGTGGGCAGAAAAAGCGCTACAAAATGCTTAGTGTGAATGAGGGCCAATAGTGACATCTCCTAGCTAATAGTCTGGCTCAGCTCTTCAGGCTAATGAGTGAGTATGTTGTTCTGTTATGACCTCCAGTGATATTGACTGGTTGCTTGTTGACCTCCCCAATAATTTAGATTGGAATTGTGGAGAAACCCAGCCCGATCTCAGAACCAGTGGGCACATTTTAAAGTGGAACTTGAGCCTGACTTTAAAAAAAACTTGTGTGCAGGAAGGATTTTCATTAGAAAAGAGACATACTATCTCGCTCTTCTACAAGAACAAAGGTTTCTTACCTTCCTCTGTGCAAGATGATTTAGAAAGTACACATCTCAGTGCCGGGATGAATGAGCACTCGTGTACATGTAGGAGTGATCATTGAATGGTTTAGTTGTTTGAATTTGTTCCAATGTCCAATATCACTGAGCGCTCATTCACACGGGTGAATAGAGAAGAACAGGTTGCTGCGTATAAAATCACACGCAGCACCTGTCCTTCCCGATACGGCCGTGCACGCAGCAAGGATCTGTACCGGCCGGCCGTTGCCCGTATGAATAAGGGCTAAGCATTAACGCTAAGCACAATTTTCCCTCCTCACGTATGTGAACATTTTCCCCAGTTAATGCAGTATGAAGAAAGGGCACACATACTGGTAATGACAGAGACAGGAAGTCCACATTGAACAGCTATGGTAGCCAGAACATACGGAAGCTTGCCATTATTCTATTTGGCCATGAACTGAGGAATCAGAATGAGGGAGGTTTCTCTTTACACTATCTGATCGGCACTTTCATTACAGAATACTGGGAGGAGACCTGCATCCAATGTAAGAGGGAAATCTCACCATTGCGTTCTCCAAAAAGCTACCTCTTGAACCAACCCACCACTGCCATCAAACACTAGAGAATCAGTTGTGGGTGGTGATGGCATTTCACCCGAACTGCCCAGCCGAATCCCTGTCTCTCCCATCACAGAAGTGCGTCTCCTCCTCCACTACACAGAAGGAATGTTCCTCATGTCTATACACTTGTATAGAGTGTGATGACATAAGGATTCTTAGACCACTGCAGAGGAGGGGGGAGAGAGGCTCTAGGGACCGGTCTAAGAACATGCCGGTGTTCTATCAAAGTTTGTGACTGCGTTAGAATGTGTGATCGGTCACGTGGTCACACATTTTAACGTAATCCCCCCCAGGTTTTTCGGCTGTGGGATATGTAATGCTTCATATGTATTTGTATCATTTTTCCATTTGCATGCAGATGAAGCTGACCAGCAAAATTCACAGTGACAGAGGTTGGAAGAAACAATGAAACAGCCAGAGAGACTTGTAAAGTTGCATAAAATGAAACCATGAGAATGGTGTAGTGAGCGAGTGTTGGAAATTTAGCATTACGTTTGCCAATGAAGGAAAAAAAACAAACACTCGTCTGACTACTATCATTACACATGATAACCACACACTGTGATCAAGATAAAATAGGATTTTTGTACTTCCCACAATAGGATTGGAAACTGGCCCACACAACTGTAGACCAGTCCAGGATAACCCCCCTACCTGCATGCCTCAGTTGTGAAGCAAAATCAGCACCAAACGCATGATCATAAACACAGTTCTTGCACCCCAAGAACTGAGCTTGGAGCGGTGGCTGCTTTACAACACACACAGGGACCATGGGGAACAACAGTAGACCCCCTCCCGAAGGAAGGACAGTGTCAGCACCAATTCAGAGATGATTTGAGGATCTATAGCCGAGTGATACACAAATAAGATACATTGCTGTTAATAGTTAAAGAACTTCAATGCATTTTTGAGATTTAACTCCCGAGTTTAGTGTCTATAAGGCGAGATACACACTCTTGCAGTGTGTTACCATAACGAATGGCAGTCACGTTGCTGTAAGGTAGTCCCTACATATTTAATAGGAAGCAACATACCTGCACCTTTTCCCCAGCACACCACAATACAGAGATGCTTCACATTGGTGAGTTATGGCGTCCTAAAATGCAGGGCTGTTTTAGTGTACTGGGGATGCGTGTTAATCTGCATGATTAACCACTTGCTGACCGGGGTATTAAACCCCCTTCCAGGCCAGGCCATTTTTCAGTATTCAGCGCTGCAGTACTTTGACATTTATTCCGTCATACAACGCTGTAATTAAATTTATACAATTTTTTGGGGGACAGATAAAGATTTATTTTGGTAATATTTAATCACCACGGTAGGATTTTATTTTTTACTATATGAAATAAGAAAATTTTGAAAAAAAATGTTTCCCTACTGTATGTTATAAAACATTTTATCAGCACCCACATTTTTGGTAAAATATTAAAAAACGGGGTCATGCTCCCTTCTTGCTATAATTGCGTGCGCCCACAAAAATCGCTAAAAAAACTACCATGTCTAACATTGCACATAGGCGACGCTTTAAAAGCTTTTACCGTTCATCAGTTTAGTGTCATCAGTGATTGATGGGCCGAGAATTATTGCTCTCACTGCAACGTTCGCGCCGATATGATGCGTAATGGTTGTCTTTGCAAGTAGGCACGCCCAACACGTATTTCCGTTTAAGTGCGTGCACGCGGGGGACTTAAAACTTTTTTTGTTGTTTTGTTAATGTGGGAATTACATTTTTTTTTTTGTACTTAACTTGATTGATGACAGGTCCTCTTTATAGGGAGACATCAGGGGTCTCTAAAACCCCTGTCACCTAGGGACCCCCAAAGAAGCTGATGAAGCAGAGATCTACTTCACCAGCTTCTTCTCTGGCTCTCAGCCAGATAAATGACAGCTAAAAGGCGGAAGTGATGTAATATACATCACCTCCGCCTTTAGAGAGAGGAGGAGAGATCAGCAGTGGGGAAATGCTGATCTCTCCTCCTCCTCAGTGCGGGCAGTCGCTGTGCCAGTCCCAAGCTTACAGGAGGGACAGCGGAGCCTGGGACAACCAGCAGTGAGCACGGCAGCAGAGGGGGGGAGGATCTGCATTGCACGGTCATACAAGCGATTAGCCAGCTGTAGATCTGTCCAAAAGCTTGTATATAACAGCCAGTAACGGAACAGCTGTTTAGACTCCCAGCGGGGTCCTTATTGTGCATTCCCGTTGTGATGTGCGGGGTCCTTTGTGCGTACCTGTGCCTTTAAGGGAGGTTGGGCTTCCTCTGACAAACCTGCACACAATTTAATATCTTGCCCCATGTGCTCCAAGATGGAGACTCTCATAGATTAGTTAGGATCGCACTATATAGAGGTGCCTTGACGTGGCTGTGCGGCTTTCACATTTTCTGCAGAAGACGTGTATCAAAACCTCTGCTTTTAACCTTAGTGGTTCGACAGGCTTTTTGCACGCTGGCTGGCGAGTGTGCCTGGAAACTTAATGCCATTCCCGCTAGGGGGCTCGCCCAACCAGAAAGTAGATCACGTAAATGTACA